TGGTGCCAGGTTTCCTCCAGACGTGACGCTTGGCATTTTGGCCAACGAGTTCAATCTTGGTTTAATCAGACCAGAGAATCTTGTTTCTCATGGTCTGAGAGTCCTTTAGGACTCTAAGCGGGCTGTCATGTGCCTTTTACTGAGGAGTGGCTTCCATCTGGCCACTCTACCATAAAGGCCTGATTGGTGGAGTGCTGCAGAGATGGTGGTCCTTCTGGAAGGTTCTCCCATCTCCACAGAGGAAGTCTGGAGCTCTGTCAGAGTGACCATCGGGTTCTTGGTCACCTCCCTGACCAAGGCCCTTCTCCCCCGATTGCTCAGTTTGGCCGGACGGCCAGCTCTAGGAAGAGTCTTGGTGGTTCCAAACTTCTTCCATTTGAGAATAATGTAGGCCACTGTGTGCTTGGGGACCTTCAATACTGCATAAATATTTTGGTACCCTTCCCCAGATCTGTGCCTCGACACAATTCTGTCTCGGAGCTCTATGGACAATTCCCTTGACCTCATGGCTTGGTTTTTGTTCTGACATGCACTGTCAACTGTAGGACCTTATATAGACAGGTGTGTGCCTTTCCAAATCATGTCCAATCAATTGAATTTACCACAGGTGGACTCCAAATCAAGTTGTAGAAACATCTCAAGGATGATCAATGGAAACAGGATGCACCTGAGCTCAATTTCGAGTCTCATAGCAAAGGGTCTGAATACTTATGTAAATAAGGTATTTCTGTTTTTTTTATTTTAAATACATTTGCACCATTTTTTTTAACCTGTTTTCAATTTGTCATTATGGGGTACTGTGTGTAGATTAATGAGGGAAAATTTGTATTAATCCATTTTAGAATAAGGCTGTTATGTAACAAAATGTGGAAAAAGGGAAGGGGTCTGAACACTTTCCGAATGGACTGTATGTTCATAATTTTATATCACAAAGCCCTTGTGATTCACCGTTAACTGTTTGTGATGACCATTAGTTGCTACGTACAGAGTGTACTGACACGTGTCACATCGACATCAAGTGTTGCATACACAGTCACATCCCATTGGGGACATGCAAAGTCTAGCATTCTTAAGACGCAATTCTCTCTCCAGTCTCTACAGTCAAGAGTCCTACTGCTCCGTCCTCATGGGAGGCAATCAAATCACTGCCACGAGTAACGATCGGCAGAGAAATAATTGAGGAATAAGGCCAGTGTGGAGGATGTCATTACATCCAATCATCGTAACGAGAGGCAGACTGCAGTGGCTCTCCGGGTGTCACTTGATGGGCACTATAGATTGCACCCCGGCGTTAGCCTGCGGTCTTATTCACCAGTGAGCACTTATGGATGGGAAGCAGGGATACTACGCTACACTGGTGGATAATAGTCTGACAGCTTCCTGTTCAAGACCCGGGGCCATGTGTAATCATGCGGAGAAACGGGAAGGCCCCCCCGGGGGAAATGGAGAACGGGTCGATAGGAAAAACAGACACCAGCGGTCTGTCGGTTCAATCACTTGTAACTGTAGGGAATTCGCTGTTAATCCACATGGTTACGTCGCTATGACTATATTCCAATCCAAACAGAGGATGTTGCAAAGTGGGGGCTTCATCTCAATTGAACAGATGCCACGTTGCTTTTTCTCCCTCCTTTAAAGACAATTCAAATCAGTAGGAGCTGTTCAGGGAGAGCTATTTTGCAATAATAAACCATGTACGACAAGTGATGGGACTCTGTGTGCTCTCAGAGAAGACTTCAGCATTCTCAGAGCCAGTAGAAAGTCTCCTTTATCTGGCTTACCACAAGAGGGAGAACAAGTATTGAGCCAGAGTGGACCAGCAGGACCATATTTGTACTGAACAAAAGTATAAACGCAACACTCAACAATTTTACTGAGTTATAGTTCATATAAGGAAATCAGTCAATTTAAATATATTAATTAAGCCCTAGTCTATGGATTTCACATGACTGGGCAGGGGCGCAGCCATGGGTGGGCCTGGGAGGGCATAGGCCCACCCACTTGGGAGCCAGGCCCAACCACTGGGGAGCCAGGCCCAGCCAATCTGAATGAGTTTTTCCCCCAAAAAGCGCTTTATTACAGACAGAAATACTCCTCAGTTTCATCAGCTGTCCGGGTGTCCGGTCTCAGATGATCCCACAGGTGAAGAAGCTGGCTGCAGTTGTGAGGCCGGTTGGACGTACTGCCAAATTCTCTAAAACAACGTTGGAGGCGGCTTATGGTAGAGAAATGAACATTCAATTTGAGATAAATAATATTTTTGTGCATATGGAAAATGTTGGGGATCTTTTATTTCAGCTCATGAAACATGGGACTAACACTTTACATCTTGCGTTGATATTTTTGTTCAGTATAGTAATGTCATTATATTGTGAGCGGCAGTGGCAAAAGGCTAGCATCATCCAATACTTTCCAATGATCATATAAAGTTCATTGGAAGTTTGAGCAGTACAAACACTTCACTTTCAAAATACTAAAATGTAAAATGTAAAAGAACTCACTTCACCTTCCATTTATTCCAGACCATTTAGTAATGTTTCAGACTATATAGCTTTTCTAAAACAGTCTGTATCCTTTCTGATACATGGCATGGACCAGAGTGGAGAGTGTTTTCAACCAAGTACAACCAACCCAAAAGTTAGTATAATGTTAAGAGCACAGTGTAACACATGATCTTAATTTCAATTTCCACTAGCTCTGCAGACACCATACCCATCAATGCGAATTGTGGTGGACATCCAGTGTATGTTTACTTACATCAGTGTTGACGTCTGTATTGACGCTCTCATGGATTTGCATGTCCTTGGTGAATGTATGCCGTTGAGACACTAATAAACAGTGACTTGACATCAGTGCATTCAATGAGAGGACTGAATTATAGTATATAGTGCATTCGGAAAGTATTCAGACCCTTTTCCCTCAATAATCTACACACAGTACCCCATAATGACAAATTGAAAACAGGTTAAATTTTTTTTGCAAATGTATTTAAAATAAAAAAAACAGAAATACCTTATTTACATAAGTATTCAGACCCTTTGCTATGAGACTTGAAATTGAGCTCAGGAGCATCCTGTTTCCATTGATCATCCTTGAGATGTTTCTACAACTTGATTTGGAGTCCACCTGTGGTAAATTATATTGATTGGACATGATTTGGAAAGGCACACACCTGTCTATATACTGTAAGTACCCACAGTTGACAGTGCACAGTAGGGGCTCCTGAGTGGCGCAGTGGTCTAAGGCACTGCATCGCAGTGCTAACTGTGCCACTAGAGATCCTGGTTCGAATCCAGGCTCTGTCGCAGCCGGCCGCGACCGGGAGACTCATGGGTGATGCACAATTGGCCCAGCGTTGTCCAGGGTAGGGGAGGGAATGGCCGGCAGGGATGTAGCTCAGTTGATAGAGCATGGCGTTTGCAACGCCAGGGTTGTGGGTTCGATTCCCACGGGGGGCCAGTATAAAAAATATATATATATGTATTCACTAACTGTAAGTCGCTCTGGATAAGAGCGTCTGCTAAATGACTAAAATGTAATGTAAAATGTGCATGGCAGAGCAAAAACCAAGCCATGAGCTCAAGGAATTGTCCGTAGAGCTCCAAGACAGGATTGTGTCAAGGCACAGATCTGGGGAAGGGTACCAAAACATTTCTACAGCATTGAAAGTCTCCAAAAACACAGTGGCCTTCATAATTCTTAAATGGAAGGAGTTTGGAACCACCAAGACTCTTCCTAGAGCTGGCTGCCCGGCCAAACTGAGCAATCGGGGTAGAAGGACCTTGGTCAGGGAGGTGACCAAGAACCCGATGGTCACTCTGATAGAGCTCCAGAGTTCCTCTGTGGAGATGGGAGAACCTTCCAGAAGGATAACCATCTATACAGCACACAACCAATCAGGCCTTTATGGTAGAGTGGCCAGACCCCACAGTAAAAGGCACATGACAGCCCGCGTGGAGTTTGCCAAAAGGCACCTTAATTCTCTCAGCCCATAAGAAACAAGATTCTCTGGTCTGATGAAACCAAGATTGAACTCTTTGGCCTGAATGCCAAGAGTCAAGTCTGGTGGAAACCTGGCACCATCCCTACGGTGAAGCATGGTGGTGGCAGTATCATGCTGTTGGGATGTTTTTCAGCGGCAGGGACTGGGAGACTAGTCAGGATCGAGGGAAAGATGAACGGAGCAAAGTACAGAGAGATCCTTGATGAATACCTGCTCTAGAGCGCTCAGGATCTCAGACTGGGGTGAAGGTTCACCTTCCAACAGGACAACGCCCCTAAGAACACAGCCAAGACAACGCAGGAGTGACTTCGGGACAAGTCTCTGAATGTCCTTGAGTGGCCTAGCAAGAGCCCAGACTTGAACCGATCGAACATCTCTGGAGAGACCTGAAAATAGCTGTGCAGCGATGCTCCCCATACAACCTGACAGAGCTTGAGAGGATCTGCAGAGAAGAATGGGAGACACTCCCCAAATACAGGTGTGCCGAGCTTGTAGCATCATACCCAAGAAGACTCAAGGCTGTAATCGCTGCCAAAGGTGCTTCAACAAAATACTGAGTAAAGGGTCTGAATACTTAAGTAAATGTGATATTTCATGTTTTCTTTTTGTATAAATGTGCAAACAAAAACCTGTTTTTGCTTTGTCATTATAGGGTATTGTGTGTAGATTTATGAGGGGGGAAAAACTATTTAATCTACTTTAGAATAAGGCTGTAACGTAACAAAATGTGGAAAAAGTCAAGGGGTCTGAATACTTTCCGAATGCACTGTATATACAAGTGTCCTTTAAAAAACAGTCACAACCACAGTGCTGTATGTTAAAGCACAGCTTCAAGAGAATAATATGCCATCCGAGAGTTGAGAATCACATGCTATAGGAGTGAAGTGTTGTTCAGAGAGGGAGACGTGCCACAGAATAGCCTCGCTTGTGTAGAGCTACAGCAGAGGTAGAGAGAGGGGTGGAGAGAGAGAGAGGGGTAGAGTGAGAGAGAGAGATATCACCTGTAGATCTTGTATCTGGTGGTGTAGCCCTGCTGGTATCTCGCCACAGACTCTGTGAACTCCAGGGAGTCGTGGAAGGGCCCTTTGCCCGACAGCAGCCAGCCCATGGGCCCAGCATCACTGGGTCCGGCCGAGGCGCCAGCAACCCCAGCCCAGGTCCAGCAGCAGCACAGGCCCAGAGCGACCCCCTCCCATAGGAGCAGCACATGCACCTGTCTAAGACCGATACCCTGGCAGCTCATGCTTCACCCAGCGACTCCTCATCCTCTCCAAAATGTTTCCTGGGGGACAAACCATTTGGGGGAATTTGCAAATTAGGGAATGTTAGCCTACTTTCATTTTATAAGCCTAAGTATTGTACTGTATATGATATTGCATGAAATTGTACTACACTGAGATATTTGATATATTAAGGAAAGATAGAAAAGGAGAGCTATAATAAATTCAATATAAAAAACGTAATAAATAAGTACATAAATAAACATTAACATTCCTATGCAATTTTCCATGCATTTCCACATTCTTACAGTTGCATGCAACTTTTGAATAGATAGTCCTTATATTGTAAGAAAATATGCTTGGGTCCTTACCTGATATTTGACAGAGTGTGAAGACCAATTATGTTTATGTTTAATGAATCAGAGAGATCTGGGAGTTGCACGAGCCGTGATAAAAGGTATTTTCATGCTCCATGTGGTCATAATATGAAATAAATTCGCTCAACTGCCCGTGTTAGAATTGATGCGAATACCAAACAAGGGAAAAAAACGTTTATTTTTTCCTGTCAAACTTGTTGTTCGCAGAAAAAGATATCTTCTGAAAAGAAACTAATTTATATTCCAGAGCACATAAATCCAAATATTGGAAGGCTCCTCCGTAGATTGCAGGTGGATCTCACATGTGCCTTGTGCAACAACTTCAGCCACAAAACAGACGGGAAGAACTCTGGACGTGAGTAAAAATAGCGGTCAAATACAATAATTCACAATTTGTGAATTGAATACGCGTTTTTTAAACTTCCTTATTTAATTTAACACTTGCTGACTTCATTTGTAACCCCTAACGTTCCAGCATCGGGTGCACAAATAGCCTGATCATTCATTATCGGAGTTCAATTCTCCTAAGCTCAGGCAGTTGCTGCCTCGCTCTTCCAGTATCAGTTGTGTGAATGATGGAGGGGGGAGCAGATTTTTAAAATGCAAAGGGAGAGAGCACCGTTCTAGCCAAATGAAACATTGTGCACCATGCACATTGATGTATTTCAATTGTAATTTCATTATTGTGAGCTCAACTGCTCTAGCAACCACTGCAATTTCAATTTTGATGAAGATAGCAATGATGATGATGATGATGATGATGATTGGAATATCAACTAGGCTACACAGCTGCTGGTACTGCATCTACTAGTCACAATCATGAACAGCCTGACCTTAGGCTATAAATGTGTAAATAATGCATGTTGAAAGATTGGTAATTTCTACATAGCAATACATCTTGATCTTTTTCAACAGATATTAGTGTAATATACTTGCATATAATCAATGAGCAATGGCCAGGTATTTACGGATATCTTCCAACCAGTATGGTAGCTTACCAAAAACAAAACAACATCAAACTTGGTTGTAGGTCCTGATTGGCACCATGCTATTGTTCAAACGAGTTTTGGCTCAGAATTCCATTCATGAATTATGCAATCGACATGTCATTTCAGTGATGGTGGAGACAGGTGCGGAGCAGATGCATGATTTTGATATTTTCTCATCATGGTAACATCACAGCTAGCTGAAGCGCCGGTCGGTCGACACCTCTCACAAGATATGAAAGCTGGAGTGACAGTAGTTGGAAGTGGATCCTCTGGTACTGAGGAATAAGGAGGGGTGGGTGAGTGACAGGTGCAGGCGATGGATCGCTAATTAGACTGTTTCAACTACGAGGGAGCAAAATTATGAAAAGCTAAATACCTGAACATGAGTAGTTTGATGTCAGGTTGGTAATCCCCTTTTATGTTGGTCGCTATAGGAGCCAGCCCTTTGTCCAGGTTCTTGAAAGTCATCATTATGTTTGTCATTCCGATCACTGTACCTGTACACAGCCCATCTGTAATTAGCCCACCCAACTACCTCATCCCCATATTGTTATTTACATTGTTATTTATTTTGCTAATTTGCACCCCAGTATCTCTATTTGCACATCATCTTCTGCACATCTATCACTCCAGTGTTAATACTAAATTGTAATTATTTTGCACTATGGCCTATTTATTGCCTTACCTCCATAACTTACTACATTTGCACACACTGTATATAGATGTTATATTTTCTATTGTGTTATTGACGGTACGTTTTTGTTTATTCCATATGTGTTGTTGTTTTTATCGCACTGCTTTGCTTTATCTTGGCCAGGTCGCAGTTGTAAATGAGAACTTGTTCTCAACTGGCTTACCTGGTTAAATAAAGGTTAAATAAATACAAAATACAAAATAAAATTGCAATGAGTGACTGACGAGAAGTGAAACTGTGTTAAATGGTTTGGAATCTCTATTTCTCTATGCTACTGAATCAATAGTCTGCAGTCATCGATTTCTCTGTTTTATTGTCGTTTGGCATGGGACACAGAAAATGTCAAGGGACTTCGTATTCTCGTTCAAACTCAAATTGAACGAGAATTCAATAAGGAGGGGTAATATCCATACACCCTAAATGACATCAGTCAGCACCAATGATAGATGTGAGGAAAAAATCAAATGTTATTCGTCACAGTGAAATGTTATTAGACTAACAGTGAAATGCTTATTTACGGGCCCTTCCAACAATGCAGAGAGAAAGAAAATAGAGAAATAATAGAAAAGTAATAAAACGGAATAATAAAAGTAATGATAAATACACAATGAGTAGCAATAACTTGGATGCACCAAGTCTGGAACCAACAGGACCCTGAACAGTTTCTAACCCCAAGCCATAAGACTGCTAAATAGTTAGTTAAATAGCTACCCAGACTATCTGCATTTACCCTTTTTGCACTAACTTTCTTGACTCATCACATACAGTTGAAGTCGGAAGTTTACATACACTTAGGTTGGAGTCATTAAAACTCGTTTTTCAACCACTCCATACATTTCTTGTTAACCAACTATTGTTTTGGCAAGTCGGTTAGGACATGACACAAGTAATTTTTCCAACAATTGTTTACAGACAGATTATTTCACTTATAATTCACTGTATCACAATTCCAGTGGGTCAGAAGTTTACATACACTAAGTTGACTGTGCCTTTAAACAGCTTGGAAAATTCAAGAAAATGATGTCATGGCTTTAGAAGCTTCTGATAGGCTAATTGACATAATTTGAGTCAATTGGAGGTGTACCTGTGGATGTATTTCAAGGCCTACCTTCAAACTCAGTGTCTCTTTGCTTGACATCATGGGAAAATCAAAAGAAATCAGCCAAGACCTCAGAAAAACAATTGTAGACCTCCACAAGTCTGGTTCATCCTTGGGAGCAATTTCCAAATGCCTGAAGGTACCACGTTCATCTGTACAAGCAATAGTACGCAAGTATAAACACCATGGGACCACGCAGCCGTCATACCGCTCAGGAAAGAGACGCGTTCTGTCTCCTAGAGATGAACGTACTTTGGTGCGAAAAGTGCAAATCAATCCCAGAACAACAGCAAAGGACCTTGTGAAGATGCTGGAGGAAACAGGTACAAAAGTATCTATATCCACAGTAAAACGAGTCCTATATCGACATAACCTGAAAGGCTGCTCAGCAAGGAAGAAGCCACTGCTCCAAAACCGCCATAAAACAGCCAGACTACGGTTTGCAACTGCACATGGGGACAAAGATCATACTTTTAGGAGAAATGTCCTCTGGTCTGATGAAACAAAAATATAACTGTTTGGCCATAATGACCATCGTTATGTTTAGAGGAAAAAGGGGGATGCTTGCAAGCCGAAGAACACCATCCCAACCGTGAAGCACGGGGGTTGCAGCATCATGCTGTGGGGGTGCTTTGCTGCAGGAGGGACTGGTGCACTTCACAAACTTCTGACCCACTGGGAATGTGATGAAAGAAATAAAAGCTGAAATAAATCATTCTCTCTACTATTATTCTGACATTTCACATTCTTAAAATAAAGTGGTGATCCTAACTGACCTAAGACAGGGAATTTTTACTAGGATTAAATGTCAGGAATTGTGAAAAACTGAGTTTAAATGTATTTGGCTAAGGTGTATGTAAACTTCTGACTTCAACTGTAAGTGTTCCCCTTGTCCAGGTGAGAGAGGGCAGTGTGGAGTGCAATAAAGATTGCGTCATCTGTTGATCTGTTGGGGCATTATGCGAATTGGAGTGGGTCCAGGGTGTCTGGGATGATGGTGTTGATGTGAGCCAATACCAGCCTTTCAAAGCATTTCATGGCTACAGATGTGAGTGCTACGGGGCGATAGCCATTTAGACATGTTACCTTAGCGTTTTTGGGCACAGGAACTATGGTGGTCTGCTTGAAACATGTATGTATTACAGACTGGGTCAGTGAGAGGTTGAAAATGTCAATGAAGACACTTGCCAGCTGGTCAGCGCATGCTCTGAGTACATATCCTGGCAATACGACTGTCCCTGCGGCCTTGTGAATGTTAACCTGTTTAAAGGTCTAACTCACATCGGGTTCGGAGAGCGTGATCACACAGTCCGGAACAGCTAGTGCTCTCATGCATGGTTCAGTGTTGCTTGCCTCGAATCGAGCCTAGATGGCATTGAGCTCGACTGGTATGCCCGTGCCAGAGCCGACGTAGTAGGATTTAATCTTAGTCCTGTATTGACGCTTTGCCTGTTTTATGGAGGTGTTAGCTGAATTTTTGTTCGGATCAGTGACCCGCTCCCTGAAAGTGGCAGCTCTAGCTTTTAGCTCAGTGCGGATGTTGCATGTAATCCATGGCTTCTGGTTGGGACATGTATGTACGGTCACTGTGGGGACAACGTTGTCGAGTGTCATGTTTTTCAATGGGGAGCCCAAGCTAATCACCAGATAGTTTTACAAATAGATGTTTTCTTTTCATCTGGCTTGAGGGGCAGTAGTACCTAGAGTGTCATCGTAATCTGTTTGAAGTGGAGCTTATTGACAATGATGTGAAGACAGTGGCAGTGGAGAATAGTTCATGCAATTGCGTGTTTGGAAAATATGCAGTGCTTTGCGTTGTCACCATCAAGATGCTGTGCAGAATCTCTCAGAGTTAGCTCAAGAG